GTAGGCCCTGTCAGAAGGAAGCTTCCAGGCAAGAGCCTGGAAGTTTCCCTGTAGGGAAATAGGTTGGGGCCTATACAGCATGTAACAGGGAGGGAGGGAGGGAGGGAGGGAGGGAGGGGGAGGGAGAGGGAGAGGCAGGGAGTGAGGGAGGGAGTGAGGGAGGGAGGCAGGGAGCGAGGGAGGGAGGGAGGCAGGGAGGGAGCCACCGCGCCCATTGTGTCAGTGCAGCCCGACGGCGTGTTCGGCGGCAAATTCAAACAGCCGTCGCTATATGCAATGGCATGGGATGAGCCGGGGCCATTCTTCACTTGGGAGGGCTTGTTGATGTTTCGAGAATCCCGGGTCCCTGCCGTCGGATCTGAAAAATCGCACGAACACAATCCCCCCCCCAAAAAAAAACGGGAACGGGCCGATACTGGGCCTGGACGCACCACTGACCAAGTGGTGCCTTGAGGCCCAGTATCAACCTGTTTTCGTTGTTTTTTCCCTTCCATCTGCTCTCTCTTTTCCCGCCTTTTTGTGACAGGTCATGGGCGGTGCACCCAGACCCATCACATTTCATTGTTTTTTTTTTGAACGCAGTTTCGTTTTTTCTTATGCGGTGAGTAGTGACGCCACCAGTAGTTTCCTTTTTTCCAGTTGCATTTTCAGGCAAGCCGTCGATAGAGGCTGGGAAATTCACTTCTTGTGGAACGCCCCATCTCACAGATGGGCAGAATCCGGTCGGGGTAGGTCGCGATGGATGGGCAGAATCCAGTCGGGGTAGGTCGTGACGGATGGAAAGAATCTGGCCGGGGTAGGTCATGGCGTAGCATTGCACCTGACTGGGTTACACCCGATTGGAATAACTTCAATAGAAGGTAGTAGATATGATCAATGTTTACTCTGAATCTGAGGGTTTAAGATGATGGGCCGAAGGTTCACGCAACAACACCAGCAGACAAAGGTCAGGCAAAGACAGCTAAGAAAGAGTTGTGCTTACCTGGAGGAGAGGAATTGATGCCTCTGATCGCCCTCCTAACTTATAGACTGATATCAAGTGGCCTCTCTCATCCACAATGACGGTCACAACGGACTTCATCAGCGCTTCTTCTTCCTTAATGGGGTCGACCACAAAGTATCCCCTCCTTCCCGAAACAGCAGAGGGCTGACGAGCAGGAGGAAAAGCGGCTGCCGAACGGGAATCAACACGCATGCCGTTCACAGCTGCAGCATCCTCACCTGGAATGGTCACCCTGATAGGACCCTGGCTCTGAGTTTCCCACCCCGCTCCATTGCTTGCCATAAGAGGTCCAGTAATTGGAAAACCATAGGCCAACCGCTTGGCTCCGCTTGCAGATTGCACCCTCCCTTCTTTATGTGCAGTGCATGTGGTGGGGCTAGCTGACAAATACTCTCCACATGTTAGGCCGAACGGACAAGGACCAAGAGTAAGTTTCTTACTCTCCAGAGTTCGAACCTTGCCCACTTCCTCTTGCGTCCTTACCCGTGCATCGACTCCTTTATCCTGGTCGGCAACAGAAACAACTTTCCCTTCATTGTCAACGGAAATTCTTGGTATTCTCACTGCACACACATCCAGTCAAATGCAGTTTGACAGTCGAACAAAATGTGAGTGTGGGAAGCAGAACACCAGGTATCAGCATTTGAATAGCTGGTTGATCTCAGAACTTGTTTCTATCCGTAACTCTTCTTCGAATACTTGCAGGCATACATAAAAATCATACATGCGGCGCATTGCGATGCGCTGTACTGCACACGTGCGCCGCACCGTGCATCACGCACGACGCGCGCGCACTGCATGCGGCGCACCTCCAAAAATGGGGGTCGAAAAAAAAAAAAAAAAAAGTTGTGAGGGGCGGTAGTAGACCCGGCCCCCTGCTCGTGTAAAATAAGAAACGGGCAGCCAATTTTTTTTTGGAGGCCGCGCATTGGCCTGAAAGCTTTTAGAAACCTGTAGTCCGCGTAACACTCTGCGTGTATGGTAGGGTTCTTGCAGTCTGTATGGTAGGGTTCTTGCAGGCCAGATTCAGTCATGATGAGGGTCGCGATCTCTCAACGTTCTCTTCTTATTACTTCTGAAGTAGAAAACGACGGAACTGACAGCCGTTTTTCCTGGAGTTTTTTTTTTTAATAAAAAGAAAAAAACGTAAAGGAAGACAATCAGCGGAACTGACAGCCACTTCCTTCTTTGAAAGGGTGAGGGCCTCGAGACATCATGGGCCTCGCCACACGGCACACGAAACGAAAACGAAACGAGTGCATCTGCCCACGAAAGATGGCAAAATACACTCGTTACTATTTTTTATAGCAAACCGATGAACCTGGCCATTCTCTGCAGAAAGATGCAATCGTTTCGTTTTTCGTTTCGTGTGCCGTACAGCGACGCCCCATGATTGATTGACCAGGCCCAAGGAGTTCAAAAAAAAAAAGAAGAAAAAAAAAAAACCTCAACGGTACTGTTCACCAACGGGCTCGCTGCACTACTCTCGACATGCACACAAGACATAAATGGCAATGTATCTTTCCATGTTGAAGCGGAGGATTCAATCTCATTTGTTCAGAGATTCTCCAAAACAAAAAAAAGAGTTCCAGAGATACGTTACGCGCTTACCTGATTCATTCTCATTTTGCACATTTGGTAAGTAGCGGAGCGCTCTCCACCACCCAACGTATGAGCAAAATGGGAATGAATCTTCCGCCGGAACATGGAAAGATACACCACCATATTTTGTCCTTTGTGCA